CGCCCGCATGCGGGACTTCACCTTATTTGGCACGGAAATGGGTGAACACATATATTTTTGGAAAGAGGACATCACAACGATCATTTTTATTTAAAAATATCATTACTTTAAAGCCAAATATGCAACTGGGGAGACTTGTAAAGATCGTGTATACGCCGAACCGCCTCTCAGTCACATCGACGCTAGAACGTCATAACGCCTACATGCATGCACCGATTTGGCTGAAAATTTGTATGCGGGGGTTTCGAGGGTCAGAGAATTCATTTCTGGTGTCATCTTGAACATTCAAAACCGTTCTGAGGGTGTCATCGGGAACCTCATACTAACCTATTTTGTGTCCCGGAGAATAAAGAGAACGGTTTTGAATGTTCAAGGTGACACCAGAAATGAATTCTCTGACCCTCGAAACCCCCGCATACAAATTTTCAGCCAAATCGGTGTATGTATGTAGGCGTTATAACGTTCTAGCGTCGATGTGACTGAGGCGGTTCGGAGTATACACGATCTTTACAAGTCTCCCCAGTTGCATATTTGGCTTTAAAGTAATGATATTTTCAGATAAAAATGATCGTTGTGACGCCCTCTTTCCAAAAATATATGTGTTCACCCATTTCCGTGCCAAATAAGGTGAAGTCCCGCATGCGGGCGCAAGTTCCGCACCCGTCCGCACGTCCTACGCGGAACTCCGCAGCTTCCGCGCTTAACTGTATAACATCACAGACACCCACGTCACGCATCTGGATGCGGCTAAGCCATCAGGAGTCTCATCACCGTGAGATCGCTGGGACTGACCAATGACCGGTGACTTAGTGCTCACGAGAGGAGAGAGCGGGGCCCTGGCGCGCAATCTCTCATACTATCACATCACGCGGCTCGGCGGCGGCTCTGTCCAAACAGACAAGTTGCCCTAGGTCGGGGCTGGCGCTGCTGGCGCGGTCCTCGGCACCGCGGTGCGGTCAGCCCCCGGGCGGGGAGGGGCGGCGGACGGCACGGAACTCACCCTGCCGGATAAGATAGCGAGAGCGAGAAGGGCCCGGGACGACGGGACGAGGCCGCTGTGACGGGCTCGTGTACCGAGTTTGCTCTGCAACACATGTGTGTGTAATGTACACGTCGTCATGCGTAAGAAGCTGACGTTACACACCGCGTGTCTACCGCATGTGCGGAGAGAGGACTTTGAATCGGGATTTTACCGTTGGCGTTTTACTGAAAAAGTCACCCCTACCCCACCCTATACCCCCATCTCTCTCCTTGCTCCTGCTCCGCGCTCCCTCCGTAGCGGACCCCGTTTCCCTCTCCTGTACTCAGGTGTTGTGCGCGCGCGGAGGGGAGGAGGGCGAGGAGGGTGGACAGGTGGGGGAAGGGGAAGAGGACGGGTCAATGACCTGGTGGACACGTGTGGCCGAACGTTAACGAGTAAGCGTCCTTGCTATCGCTCGCACCCTCGCTTCCTCCTCCCCTATACGTCCATAGATGAGGTTCACATCTTTCTTTGTCTCCCTCTCTCTCTCCCTCGCTCCTCTCGCACTATACCCGCTCCTGCTCTCTTTCTCGCTCTCCCCTCTCATTACCGCCATACAGTCATGTGGCGGGTGGATCAGCTGATGGACAAGAAAGAGTCGCTCTGTGCGAACATAGGGTCCTCCCCCCGTGCCTCCCCCCGTGCCT